CCTAGTTTATTAGGGTTTTATTAAGTTTTCCTTTTTTTTACCTTTTTGTCCTTATTGTAACTCTCATTGACTATATATACGGGGGCTCTACACTTAATTTGTATCTCATTCACTCACAAATATTTCTAGTAAATCTTCTGGTGGAAAAACATAGCTAATTAGTCCTTTGGTAGTTGGTAGGGAAACCAAAGCCATAGTAATGTGATGGCAAACTATTTTAGAATAATCATATAAAAATGTAACAGCACGAAAAATAGTTGATATAAATTTGAGAAAAAGCTAAACCGAAAAAACTACAATGCACCGCATGGAAAAAACACTCCCATGTGAATAAGGTGCTCATTAGAGACAGAAATAAAGCTTCACCAATATATAAGAAACCACAAGATAGAAGGCTATAAAAAAATTAAAAAAAAAAGAACATGAATCACCGTGACTTATAAATTTCTGTTGGAAGTACTAACATCCCAGAAATTCCACAGCTGGTTATGCAAGCAACTCCAAAATGGTGCAGAGCAAAAGTCTGGCTGTCCATTGAAGGCCTCATAACTGACACCAATTTTGTTACATTCAAGGCCATCTAAGGTGAACCTGACTCTTTCAAGCAGCATCCACATAGAAAAATTGCTCCCCAAATTTTGTGGTTGACCTGTGCCACCCTTCAAGAGTAAAAACAAGAAACTCAGCAATTCAAAACCACCTGAAAAATACTAAGGCCGTCAAACTATAATTCAATCCTAATCATATGCATTGGATTGTTGGAGAACCGACATGTTAGGAGTATGAAAGTTTTTGGAACATTGGCTTGCAGCTGGTTCTAAATATGACAAAGGCAATACTCAACTAAACTTGTTGGCTCAATGACAAGCTTCAAATCCAACAGCATAGGGTTGGCTGCAAAGTTGCCTCTAGAGGCTGTATGGAGGTTGTATCCTCTGCTAAAGCTAAGGTTATTGTAAGTTTTCTAGACATATTTGTGTTGTCTCACAGCCTCAACCACAGCCAATTTGCCCTTCTGCATCCACAGATTGACTCACTCTTGGTACTAGGGCCTTAGTCAGCCGTTGCACAGATCTCAGAGACTTTGACAAGGTAGCATTCTACATGATTGGTTAAGTACATTGATTAAAAGTTAGACNGTTGTCTCACAGCCTCAACCACAGCCAATTTGCCCTTCTGCATCCACAGATTGACTCACTCTTGGTACTAGGGCCTTAGTCAGCTGTTGCACAGATCTCAGAGACTTTGACAAGGTAGCATTCTACATGATTGGTTAAGTACATTGATTAAAAGTTAGACAGACTCTACCACTACCCAGTGCAACCACTGTTTCCCACATGGAGAGGTGACCAAATAGAACCATGGACTAACTAGGGGTGCCACATAAACAAAGAGGAACCAAATACCAAATCAAACAAATCCGTATAGAAAAACTTGTCCATGACCTCCCAAGCCCAACTCCATCGAATTCAACCACTTATTTACAAGTAAAGATGCCCAAAGGTTTATATCCTAGTTTGGAAGGTTCCAAACACATAACTATTTATCACAAACATCAAAGGAACTTTGTATATGCACTTCTGATGCCAGAATTTTCCACTGAGAGTATAACTGACAGTAGCATACATAATTTAAAAGATAAATCTCTTTGATAAACCAAAATCCTTCTAGAGTGGCCCCAAAGTTGATTGAGAATTCTTCTAGAAAAACTAAGTATCCAATTTCCCAGTTTAGCAACAACATTTCTCGAAGAAATTAATATTGACAACTGATCATTAATAACCCAGTCAAAAACAATTTAAAGCCATAAATGGCTTTCTGCATCTTTGCCATGTTGTTAAGTAGATAAGCTAAAAATATCTATTGATCTGTTATATTTAATAAGCGGCAAACAAGATGGAGGTCTGCAAGAGCATGTATTACATAAAAACATCAATTTTCAATCAAAAATACTTGGAATGGATTTGAACCAGAAAATACAAAATAAGTGGGCCAGACTTCGTTGTTGAAATACAGAAAAATGTATACTTCCAAAGTTGGAGGTGCTCAACAAACTAACCCAAATTTGGAAATTCATATTAGAATGGAGGATATGATTAATTGCAGTAGTATAAGGACACTTATCATTATTATAGCAGTGAAGCAAGCATACCTGCCTCGGAATAACAAGGTAGTAATTATCAAATGATGGAATGTTTGTGTACCCAACGTAATCTCCAATAAGATTCACCCGAAGAAAATTATCACTGGATGTTGCAGTTCTATTCTCAGGACCCACAACCACAATCTGCCGGTAAAAATATCGATAAATATCTTCAACAGATTATTCATAATGTAGATTATCTAATTTAAATTTTNGCCGGTAAAAATATCGATAAATATCTTCAACAGATTATTCATAATGTAGATTATCTAATTTCAATTGAAGTAGCCTTTAGCTTTCTGTATCCAACAGCTATAGCTACAGCAAACAAAACACTAGACTGTAGCATTCAGCAGCTAGCAAACAAAACATTAGATATAGATGTCGCTAAAAACAAAGCTGACCCAATTTATACGACGTAAAAGAAAGAAATAAAGAAGAAGCAGGATAAAGTTTGTTAAAAGATCAATGATCCACGACTCCTTAGTCCTTGCTCTTAATATACTTAATACAGAAAAAAAATGTTTTACTTTTTCTTAAACCAAAATTCTATGCGCGTTTTTCTTTTCATCCCTTGAATTTATCTTAAAATGAATATTAAAATGTGTTTTATACTTGACTTTTTTCACTGTCTTTTAAACTTTTTAGTCAATAAAATTTTAACTTACCCCCCCCCAGCCAAAAAATAAACTGTCTATCCTTTTCTTAATATAGAATGATTGTTTACACCACAGAAGGTAACAAATAACAATGAGAAAACTAATCTGCTTCATACAGCACAATTTCAAAACAAATTTATACAAAATCATGCAATTAACTGAATGACTTATCATAAGCTATTGATATAGTCATGGCTATTTAAAAGGATGTTTGATAACTGCATACCGACAATGTTGACTTTGTCTTCACTTCAATTTGAACACTAAATCCAACGGAGAGTTGTCCAATACCAAACACATGGAACCTAAGTGGATAAGAACTGGTTATGATTATTGACTAACACAAAAAAAAAAAGATGAGCAAAACAAAGCAAATGCAAGGCTTGCTCAGATTGAAGCAAATGTGGAGTGCTATCAAACCTACAAAAATAAAAGGAGTTGGATCACTAATAAATCTCTATGATCTCAACTGCTACCTTTTTTTTATCCAAGTTGTCATCTCTGTGGGATCTAACCCTTGAAAAGCTTTACCTCCAACTAAAATTATAAAATTTAAGCAACTAGTTGGGACATGTGAAGCACAATAATAAGAAAAATGAATGCAGAAACTACTAAGATGAGGTTTTTTTGTAATAATATTGAGATAAGCTCACAAAGCAGTATGGGTCATTAGGGAAATATATGACATAAATATAGCAACAGTAGATTAAACAGTTCACAAAACTAAATAACTTCACAAAAGAGAACCTTCTACTGATTTTCACAACATTTTATGTCTTACTCTTCAAACCCTTCAAAGAAATAAAGGTCCTCTTTTAAAAAAATTTAGTAAAAAATAAAAAAAAACAAGGGGTCATACCAATCACCTGGAAACCGAAGACAATGTGCAGTATTAGCCTTCCCTTTCATCAGCTTATCAACTAGTTTGACAAAAAAGAATAGATCAATTTTTTAAAATCTATAAGCTGCAACCTTCATAAAAGTTTGATGATGCCAAACGTCTGGTATCTTGAAACTTACAAAAGTTCCCACATGATGAAGGCACCCTGCGCTGGTCCCCACAAGGGCAACAAGTCGGCTGTGCAGAAAAGATCAGAAGAGGACCATCAAATACGTTAAAAAATTATCCAAAACTTTGTGAAGATAACTTAGAAGTTTGAACGTAATCAATTATAAACATTATGAAGGAAAACAAAATATACGTCAACAAACAACAAAATTTCAACCTATGGCACTACTATGAGAACCGAAAAATCGAAAGAACTTTAGAGAATGTAGAATGGTAACTTCAACACCCTTGATATTATTTCAAAGAAGATTAATATCTTTTTATGGAGCTTGAGTGACTTCACATATTAGTTAAAGCCCCTGTTGCTTTTTCTCTTTTCTCCCTCTTTTCAATCTTCGATGAGTTCAAAAAGGGTGCCAACAAAGGGACCGAACAAAGTCCAGAATAGAATACAACCACTTGCCAGCTATCTCCAAAAATCTAAAAAAAATGGAATCGCCTCATGCATCAAGCAGATAAAACTATATCCCAGTACCATCAAACATTTCAATTTTTAGTATATACATTAATATCCTCCTCTCAAAATCTCTTCTATTCCTTTCATTTCCATAACGTACCACATCAAGAAAAGAGGTGCTGTCCAAAAGTTTCTCTAGCCACCCTACTTCCCAGCATAACTTAAATACTTAGAAGAACCTTCAGAAAGCCCAGCATAACCCAGTCAAACCCAAATACGGCAAAGAACATCAAAGCTCTCTAGGATCATCACAGTGAAGCAGTAGTGTAACCAAAATTTTGACGAATGTTTTCTTGGAAATCACAAATTTTGGGTGCCTTGTGATGAAAGATCACTGAGCAGTGGGATTCAATGATATTCAAGCCCGTAAAGATAAGCTCATCGAAGGTCCTTCATTTATCTGATTCCCCTCAATAAAAAATTTGTAGATACCTCTGCAATGAAGAGGCATATAATACAGGAAAAGGAGAAGCATCCTAAAGGCTTTTCAAAGATCTTTTCATATTCGGATACTGAGGGTAGTAGAGAGCAGATTGTTTCTGTTTATGTATGCATGGCTTTGTAAACAGGAGTACTAGACAAACATGTCATGGAGACAGCCTCTCTGCACACAGTAAGGCCGCTTATGTGTAACCCTTCCCAGACCTTGCACTAGTGGAAGTCTCATGCACTAGGCTGCTCTTTTAAAAACACACAAATCAACTTAGATTTCTTCATTCGACAATTATGTCACTAGTTCTAACATCCTCGTACGATTTTATAAAACAATTATGCGCTAAGGACCAACATAAAAGGAATTGACCTAGAATAATAAGATAGACAATTGCTAATATATAAAAGTTATGTAGCAAGTGAAAAAAAAAATTCAATGCATATGATGAACGAAGAACAATATCCAAACTTGAAAATCGTACCTGTGTGTGCTCAATTATGTGACCCTTGTCATCTCTCAACCTATGTTTCACGAAGCCAGTCAGTCAAACAAACAAATGTACACTGTAATTTTAGTTTGGAATATTGAAAAAAGAAATACTACTTTCAAGTTTCACCCATGCTTTTTGAAAAGACATTTCAAAGAAACCATGTTGGCTAGTCAATAGAATCAAGGAAATAGATCAACATGTCATATGTGGCCAACAGCTAATCGTTATTTTCCTATATTTTGAACCTTGAGAAAATAAACATGGAAGATTCAGAAAACAGAAGGGATTCAGAACAAAAAATTTACACATGAGAACTGAGCAGTAAAAAAATATTCGTAGAAGTTGGACTTCAATTCCCAGTACACAACCACAAGTGTAAGGTGGCCTCATAAACCATAACGGCACACATCACAGAGAGGCTATAATTGACTTTATACATTAAGTGTACATTTTCAATATGCAACTCAGTTACCTTCTTTGTCACCTTAATAGTTTACATACATTCTTCAGAGTATTCTTATCTCTCAAGAATATGTAAGTAAAATGTTAATCATATACCAAAGCTTATAACAATAAACTTATACATATATATATATATATATACACCAAAGCTTAGAGTTACACAACTACATTCAAATGAAATAATACTGCAACCATAGACATTTGACACTCAGTCCTAAAAGTGATCACANAGAGAGAGAGAGAGAGAGAAGAGGGTGGTATACTGATTCACTGGGGACGGCCATGTCGATGAGAATTTTTGTAGTGCAATTGAGGCTTCTGGAATCCGAAACCTTCTCGCATTTTTCGAGCTTTGATTTGGAGAGGATTTGGAGTCCGAAGATCGATTGGAGAGAGAGATGAGAGAAGAAGTATGAGAAGATGATGATGAGGGTGAAGGGTTTCATTTTGCGAATGTTGGTTGATTGGTGTAATGTGAATCTTTACAGTGGAACTGTCTGTCAGCCACACACAGGGTATTTGAGGGGGGAGACGCGAGTGACGGTTTTTGGCGGTACGTGTAAATTGTAACTGCCTCCAGCGGTTGGGCTTCGCAATTACATTCGTTTAAAGGGCCAGCGACGAACCAGGAATTTACAACTGGTCCCTAACTTTTAGGGGAATCTCACTTTGCACCCCCAAAAAAAATTTAAGACTTCTCACTTTATACCTCAAATGAATTAAAAAATACTGTAGTGTAAACCTTTTGTTTTTTGTTTGTTCCATCAAAAACTATTTTATTGACATTGATAAAACGAACAACAGACATGAAACTGCNGTTTTTTGTTTGTTCCATCAAAAACTATTTTATTGACATTGATGAAACGAACAACAGACATGAAACGAACAACACACTCCCTTGTCCAGCGAAACAAACTGTCCCAACTTTTAGGTATTGCTGCTATGCGAAGAAACACCAAATATCTCAATATTCTTTTTTTTTTTTGTCGTTCAAAAACTGAGATGTTTAATTATTTAGTGGAGAGAATAATAAAAAATCTTCAAGAGTGGAAATAGTTTTTTTTGTAACAAGCCGACAAGGAAATCTTAGTCTAGGTCGTCATTCAAACAATGTCATGTCTTGTCTAATTTTCCCTCTTTTCTTTTAAGAAAAAAAGAGATTTTGAATCAAATAAAATTTATCGGAAGAAATGAGACGATCTCACTCATTCCAAATCAAAGGGGGGAATGGGTTTTCATGCCCGTCAAAGTTTCAATCAAGTATTTCTAGCCAAACAATGTTTATGGTTGATCCAAATCCCACCTCCAACTAGGCTCGCATCCTAAAGTTTATCTATTTCTCTAATACAGATTTTATGCAGGCAAAGTAGGGCCATGACCATCCTGGATGTAGAATAGTCTATTAGTGGGAAGGACCCTCCTTTCCAAGGGCTTGAGATGGCAGATCAGTAGTGGGAGATAGAGTAAATATGTTGAATGAAAAGTGGATCCCTTTAAAAAGTTTTGTCAAAGGTTACGTGAATCAACATTTTTTTTTGCATTGTCATAATCTGTCCAATTTCTCTATTGCTTTGGAGAAACCTCCTATTTACAATATGAACCTAGTCGTTGATATATTCACCATCGCTCCTTAAATCTTTTAATTCNTAAAGTTTATCTATTTCTCTAATACAGATTTTATGCAGGCAAAGTAGGGCCATGACCATCCTGGATGTAGAATAGTCTATTAGTGGGAAGGACCCTCCTTTCCAAGGGCTTGAGATGGCAGATCAGTAGTGGGAGATAGAGTAAATATGTTGAATGAAAAGTGGATCCCTTTAAAAAGTTTTGTCAAAGGTTACGTGAATCAACATTTTTTTTCGCATTGTCGTAATCTGTCCAATTTCTCTATTGCTTTGGAGAGACCTCCTATTTACAATATGAACCTAGTCGTTGATATATTCACCATTGCTCCTTAAATCTTTTAATTTATTAAGGGTATAATATAGAAAAATTAATTTTTAAGAATATAAAATAAAAGTTCTTAAATCTTTTAAAATATAATGTATAATTCATCGTAAATTTTGTGTTTTTATTGTTATATCACTTGAAATACTAAATAAATAATTAGAATTAAACTTATGAACAGATAATTTTAAAAATTTGAACGAGCAATAATAAATTGATATGAGTGGATGAATTGTTACACGAGACATGATAGAACTAACTATAATCCGTGCATGAAGGCATGATAAAACATAAAATTTAAACTCTCAAAAATCGATCTCACTATATTAAATAATAANGAGACAGCCTCTCTGCACACAGTAAGGCCGCTTATGTGTAACCCTTCCCAGACCTTGCACTAGTGGAAGTCTCATGCACTAGGCTGCTCTTTTAAAAACACACAAATCAACTTAGATTTCTTCATTCGACAATTATGTCACTAGTTCTAACATCCTCGTACGATTTTATAAAACAATTATGCCTTTACTGATCATTATATGTGAGAAAACATGCTAAGGACCAACATAAAAGGAATTGACCTAGAATAATAAGATAGACAATTGCTAATATATAAAAGTTATGTAGCAAGTGAAAAAAAAAATTCAATGCATATGATGAACGAAGAACAATATCCAAACTTGAAAATCGTACCTGTGTGTGCTCAATTATGTGACCCTTGTCATCTCTCAACCTATGTTTCACGAAGCCAGTCAGTCAAACAAACAAATGTACACTGTAATTTTAGTTTGGAATATTGAAAAAAGAAATACTACTTTCAAGTTTCACCCATGCTTTTTGAAAAGACATTTCAAAGAAACCATGTTGGCTAGTCAATAGAATCAAGGAAATAGATCAACATGTCATATGTGGCCAACAGCTAATCGTTATTTTCCTATATTTTGAACCTTGAGAAAATAAACATGGAAGATTCAGAAAACAGAAGGGATTCAGAACAAAAAATTTACACATGAGAACTGAGCAGTAAAAAAATATTCGTAGAAGTTGGACTTCAATTCCCAGTACACAACCACAAGTGTAAGGTGGCCTCATAAACCATAACGGCACACATCACAGAGAGGCTATAATTGACTTTATACATTAAGTGTACATTTTCAATATGCAACTCAGTTACCTTACTTCTTTGTCACCTTAATAGTTTACATACATTCTTCAGAGTATGCTTATCTCTCAAGAATATGTAAGTAAAATGTTAATCATATACCAAAGCTTATAACAATAAACTTATATATATATATATATATATACACCAAAGCTTAGAGTTACACAACTACATTCAAATGAAATAATACTGCAACCATAGACATTTGACACTCAGTCCTAAAAGTGATCACAAATTTAGAGATATAAAAGTGTTCAGAAAGTGTAAGAGAAGATGATAGATTACTTGCCTCTCACATATCTTCACAACATCCTCACCAGCATCCGGCTCACATTTGCGTGTCTCAACATAATATTCCTGTGGTTTATAAGGAACATCCTACAGATGATATAAACATATGAAAGTAAAATGGGTCAGTTAACAGCTAAAAACCATCAAGTCCATAAAAAGGTAGAATGTATAACAATTAATTATTCTATACTTTTCTAACAACAAATTTATCCTAATAAATGCACTATTCTAAAGATGGCATTACTAAACATTAAACGGAACAATTATCCAAAAATGTATTTAATAGAATCACTTCAAAAAATTGTGGGGAGAGGGCTTGGCTAGTTTGGGAACCCCCCTCACCCCCGCCAAAAAAAAACAAAAAAAATAAAAAATTCTAAGGTTTTCCATTTACTAGATTAAAAAACAAAATTTTCTCAAATGAAATTCTCACCCCTTGGCCATGTTATTAACCATTCCCCCACATTACCAAGGTCATCACGCCTCTAATTCTCCAATTATCTCCCTTCAATTTCTCACTGCCTCTTACTTTTTAACTTCTCATCTTCCTCTCCCCTTCTCTATAACATTACTAGACAAATTAAAACGGTTTTGAGAGTGGGTCGGGCTGGGAGGTGGGCATGGTAGGAAGGAGTGGGGCCGTAGCCTTTACATCACATAGTCAGCCATTTTATATATCAACAAGACTCTTTACAACACAGAACAAAAAACTCACAAATACTATGAAATTAACCCAATTTACAAAATACAAAAACTCACTCGTATATAAGTCAACTGATACAACGCATATGCCGCAGATTTGTTAACAGTAATCACTGGTGGAATTCGCAGTGTTCGCATGTTGCTAGTCGAATTCTGTTCTTCCACTTCCACTAGTTCCGCTACAATGGAAGCCTCTCTCCCATTCTAAACAACCAAATTGAAATCACATTTAACTCTATATATAATTTATAGACGTTTTCATACATACAACTTTTGGAAAGAAAAATCAGAGAGAGAGAGAGAGAGAGAGAGAAGAGGGTGGTATACTGATTCACTGGGGACGGCCATGTCGATGAGAATTTTTGTAGTGCAATTGAGGCTTCTGGAATCCGAAACCTTCTCGCATTTTTCGAGCTTTGATTTGGAGAGGATTTGGAGTCCGAAGATCGATTGGAGAGAGAGATGAGAGAAGAAGTATGAGAAGATGATGATGAGGGTGAAGGGTTTCATTTTGCGAATGTTGGTTGATTGGTGTAATGTGAATCTTTACAGTGGAACTGTCTGTCAGCCACACACAGGGTATTTGAGGGGGGAGACGCGAGTGACGGTTTTTGGCGGTACGTGTAAATTGTAACTGCCTCCAGCGGTTGGGCTTCGCAATTACATTCGTTTAAAGGGCCAGCGACGAACCAGGAATTTACAACTGGTCCCTAACTTTTAGGGGAATCTCACTTTGCACCCCCAAAAAAAATTTAAGACTTCTCACTTTATACCTCAAATGAATTAAAAAATACTGTAGTGTAAACCTTTTGTTTTTTGTTTGTTCCATCAAAAACTATTTTATTGACATTGATGAAACGAACAACAGACATGAAACGAACAACACACTCCCTTGTCCAGCGAAACAAACTGTCCCAACTTTTAGGTATTGCTGCTATGCGAAGAAACACCAAATATCTCAATATTCTTTTTTTTTTTTGTCGTTCAAAAACTGAGATGTTTAATTATTTAGTGGAGAGAATAATAAAAAATCTTCAAGAGTGGAAATAGTTTTTTTTGTAACAAGCCGACAAGGAAATCTTAGTCTAGGTCGTCATTCAAACAATGTCATGTCTTGTCTAATTTTCCCTCTTTTCTTTTAAGAAAAAAAGAGATTTTGAATCAAATAAAATTTATCGGAAGAAATGAGACGATCTCACTCATTCCCAATCAAAGGGGGGAATGGGTTTTCATGCCCGTCAAAGTTTCAATCAAGTATTTCTAGCCAAACAATGTTTGTGGTTGAACCAAATCCCACCTCCAACTAGGCTCGCATCCTAAAGTTTATCTATTTCTCTAATACAGATTTTATGCAGGCAAAGTAGGGCCATGACCATCCTGGATGTAGAATAGTCTATTAGTGGGAAGAACCCTCCTTTCCAAGGGCTTGAGATGGCAGATCAGTAGTGGGAGATAGAGTAAATATGTTGAATGAAAAGTGGATCCCTTTAAAAAGTTTTGTCAAAGGTTACGTGAATCAACATTTTTTTTCGCATTGTCGTAATCTGTCCAATTTCTCTATTGCTTTGGAGAGACCTCCTATTTACAATATGAACCTAGTCGTTGATATATTCACCATTGCTCCTTAAATCTTTTAATTTATTAAGGGTATAATATAGAAAAATTAATTTTTAAGAATATAAAATAAAAGTTCTTAAATCTTTTAAAATATAATGTATAATTCATCGTAAATTTTGTGTTTTTATTGTTATATCACTTGAAATACTAAATAAATAATTAGAATTAAACTTATGAACAGATAATTTTAAAAATTTGAACAAGCGATAATAAATTGATATGAGTGGATGAATTGTTACACGAGACATGATAGAACTAACCATAATCCGTGCACGAATGCATGATAAAACATAAAATTTAAACTCTCAAAAATCGATCTCACTATATTAAATAATAATTTTTTTTTCTTCGTTTCTTTGATTACATTATTCAAAATTTATTTTTACCCATTATTTTCTTAGAAATATTGACGAAAATTTCTTAAAAGACGTATTTCGATAAAATTTTCTTAATATATGTATACTATCGTACATGGATAATATCTGAAATAAAATTTATGTTAAATTATTAATTAATTAAATATTAAATATGTGATAAAAATAAGTAATATGATAATTTGGANATACTAAATAAATAATTAGAATTAAACTTATGAACAGATAATTTTAAAAATTTGAACAAGCGATAATAAATTGATATGAGTGGATGAATTGTTACACGAGACATGATAGAACTAACCATAATCCGTGCACGAATGCATGATAAAACATAAAATTTAAACTCTCAAAAATCGATCTCACTATATTAAATAATAATTTTTTTTTCTTCGTTTCTTTGATTACATTATTCAAAATTTATTTTTACCCATTATTTTCTTAGAAATATTGACGAAAATTTCTTAAAAGACGTATTTCGATAAATTTTTCTTAATATATGTATACTATCGTACACGGATAATATCTTAAATAAAATTTATGTTAAATTATTAATTAATTAAATATTAAATATGTGATAAAAATAAGTAATATGATAATTTGGAGAGAAAATGTGATAAATCGATAACCATTACGTAAATCGTTATCCTCGATCCAAATAGTTGACAAACTAGGTTGCGACCATCCAACACGATGGGGCGTACAAAGTATAAAATATAAAACAAAATAAATGTACTGCAGATCTTTGAGCCGTGCCACGTTTGGGTTGTAAAACAATTGAATATAGTAACCTACCCATGACGCTACCCATATTCAAATCCAAAGGCCGTAACGTCCCAACGCTGCAATTCTCCACAAAATGAAGGGCAAATATGGAACAACATCAGACAAACTTTGCATGATGCTTCCACCAATCAACCTATACTTCTCACCACATCGCAACAAATAAAACTTTCTTTCCGGATTCGCCCTTCTCTTCCCTCAAGAATAACAATCAACACCTGCCTAAACTCTATGGCTTCCTTTGGCCGGCCAATACCACGTGGCAGACACCCTTTAGTCCTACGATTCGAAATTATCAGTTTGAATAAATCTCATAAATGTCCCTGAATTATGATCTTTATTTTAAATTGACTCAAAACTTTTAACTGTTTTAATTTATCCCCTAAATTATGCATTTTATTTTAATCCAGTCATTCTATTAAGATTAATTATTAAATGAGATAAATTAAAAATTAGTCTTGGATAGATTTATCTCATTTTACCGTTAATTTTAATAGAATTTGTCTTAATAGAAAGGGTTGACTGAAATAAATTACATAATTTAGGGAAAAAATGAAATAATTAAAAGTTCAGGATTAATTTTGAATAAATGCTAAAATTTAGGGGTATTTATGAGATTTACCCAATAAGTTTTTTATCAGAAAATAATGTGCAAATACAATGCTTTGGCCAAGAGCCCATAAACTATATGCGCATTTACGCACCACAGCGACCTTCTCCGGTGCTGTCACTACGACGCCATGGACGGCGGTGAAAAGTCGGAGAACATTCTCCACCGAGCACTGGTGGATCGGTTTCGAAGTTTGGAGGCGAGTCACGCAAAGCTCAGAGAGCAATTGAATGTACTGGTTCAAGAACAAGGTGTCAAGAATTCACGGGATGATGGGACGTCAGATTCCGGCGAAGTGACGCTATACACAGGCTGGCCTTGTGTTCCCGGAGTGTTCTCGTCGGGAAGTCCGTACAGGAACGTGTTGGAGTACATGGGCCATGCAGTTCATGTTAGCAGAGTTGGCTCTGGAGAGATTATTTTCTGGTAATTAATCTGACTCTTTTTAATTAAAGAAATTAATTCATTGATTATTTTGTTTAATCACCATGTTCTTGATTCGTCGTTTTCTTCAATATTATCTCGATGTTTAATGATTTGTTTTAGAATGTCAGTACATTGAATTACGAAGTATGTGTTTATGATAGAATGGAAAAGACTATGGTAGGAATAGGAAGGGTTACTAGTACCGTACTAAAAATTAATATAATTTAATCTGATGAGGTTACGAGAAAATGGTTTGTTTGACATAGTTCTTAAAATGTTAGGATCCAACTTTTTGAGTGGCAATTTATCCTTGTGGGAGAATTGATCCAAATTGAGTAGTAACTAACAAATAAAGTAACCTTTGGCACAATATCAAACTCGGCATTGTACTTGTTCCCTTATGTATGGTGAAAAGTATATCAATGGAGCGGTTGTTTCAAATGAAAAAGAGTGTTTTGATGTGAAGGAACTTAGTTGATAAAGCCCCAATTTGATTGAATAAAGGAATGCATAGCTCTAACTAAAGGTACTTCTCCAAGGGATTGTATTTGGATATGCCATATGTCTACTTTTTTCTACTATGGGGCAGTGATGTTGGATAATACGTTCAGTAGAAGTCAGTAAGTTACTGTCAAGTGTCAACCCAATTTTTTTTTTTTTTGTCAATTGTTTAGGCTAAGGCCTTTGAAATAGTGATGGTGGCTGCTGACAATGTGAATGGTTGGTGTATTGTGCCAATCAACTGGTAAGAATTGAGAATTAGCTGGAGCCCCCCATGGTTATCTACTATCTAGATTTTTAGTGTGCTGGTTGACTTTTCATATAAATTGAAGGGTGTATTGTTTGATGACTCTAATGGTATTTTCTATAAATACAAATTAGTGCCATAATAGAGCAAATACAGGAAATGACAACCATCAAGTTTAACTGAGGGCATTCCATAATATTATTGTAGAGATTCTTTAAGGGGTTTGTAACTTTAATGTCATATAGACTAAATTGACCTTTCACCATCCACTAAATACCCAAATTGTTATATTAAGTTCACTAATCTGCACATGATTAGTAAGCGTGTTATCTCCTTGAAAGGCGACAAAATGTGCATATTGTTTTATTGTCAGGCATGGCCTTTTGACAGATTTCATTGTCTCTAATTTGTAGCAAAACCCATAGCTGATCTAAAACGTACAAATTTTTTGCTATCTGTGTGCCCCAAATTGAATTATGTAAATGTAGGGGAGCAAATACATCCACCTTTTGGTCGTTATGACTGCTTTGCACAGTTTCAGTTATAAAATTTGAGATTGGTTAAAAGGGATATATGTGAACATACAGAACATTGTTTGAATGTTATTTATGGCTTAGTCAAAGATCAAAATATCGTTTCGAAACGATTGAAACATTCGAAACGTTTCCATTTCTAAGGAGACCGAAACGATTCAGTGATGGAATCAAAATTCTAATGCTTCGAGGTCTCCATAATATTTCGAAATATTGTTATATTTTAATGAATTTGCACAATTATTTCGNAAGGGATATATGTGAACATACAGAACATTGTTTGAATGTTATTTATGGCTTAGTCAAGGATCAAAATATCGTTTCGAAACGATTGAAACATTCGAAACGTTTCCATTTCTAAGGAGACCGAAACGATTCAGTGATGAAATCAAAATTCTAATACTTCGAGGTCTCCATAATATTTCGAAATATTGTTATATTTTAATGAATTTGCACAATTATTTTAAAAATATTGCAAGGTATTTTAAGATATTTTGGTATATTTTGACCAATGTTTTGAAAAAATAATTATTAAATTTTTATTTTTTTTATTCTGTTTTTGAAACGGGTCGAAACGTTTCCGAGACATGTTGAAATGTTTCCGTTTTCTAAGTGACCGAGACAATGTACCAAAACAAAATTTTGATCATTGGGCTTAGTATTGGATGCAAGGCTTAATTACTTGGATCCCTTGCCAGATGCCAATGCCAGTGCCCATGTGACTTACATGCTTGGAACTTCTTTTCTTCTCAAAACCATAGATTGCTTTAATGTTTATGAGTAGGAGCAGTACGTTCTATAACTTAGACTCTGAAGATTCTTGGTGCATACTTGGAACCAATCTGCATTCCATCTGACAATTGGCTGTTTGAATGCTAAATATAATGACAAGAGGCCCTGCTTGTTATAAGCTATCTATAAATATTCGGTCCAATGACATTCCACATTTGTGTTAAGAAAATTTGTCATAACAGGAACCGGTCTGCTGAAAAACTTTATGGATATAAGGACTATGAAGTACTTGGACAAAGAGCTGAAGAGCTGCTTATTGATGAAGAGCATTACACTTCCGCAAAGAAAATCATGGAAGCGTTGAGCTTTGGTCAATCTTGGTCAGGTCAGTTCCCCTTTAAGAAGAGGTCCGGGGAGATTTTTATGGCGATAGTGACAAAAAGCCCATTATATGAGGATGGTGAGCTTGTTGGTATTATCACTGTCTCAGGTGATGCGGTTGTATTTAACAATAAAAACTCTGAAAACATGAGAACGCATCAGGATCGTCCTAATGGCCAACCTAAAGTACAGGGAATAAATATGAAAAAGATGCAGTGGCATCCACGTCCACAGATTGCTTCCTCTGTTTCCAATCTGGTGCTTATTTGTTTTACTATTACATTTGCTTTTCAGTTTGTTTTTGTTGTTCCTTTCTTTTCAGATTCTGAATGAGTCTGACACTAATGCTATCAAACTAATCAGGCCTCAAAAGTTCTGTTTCGAAAACGAATGGATGATGAATGCAATGCATGTGGAATTGCCGGAGACAGAGAGAAGACAGTACATGATGCTCACAATGTTAGATATGAGAAACCATCCCAAACACCAGTAAGTTTTTATTCAAAGTCACCTGAATTTCACTTGAAACTAAGGACACGCATAATGAAATTTTATTCTTCCAGACAGCAAAGCCTAGTTTCAGTTTGCACATTGACAAAAGCACAACTGATGCAGCCAGCTCCGAGAAGGATGAATCTTCATCCGAATTTGCTCAGCCATCTAGAATAGTATGTATGCTTTCCCTTGTTTTTTTTGTTTGCGTTAAGTGCAATTAACATGGATTGTAATTCATCCTGGTTAACAAATGCGGTAGAGGTATTTCCAGAAATTCTGAAAATTTTGCAGAACTTTGTGACATCAGAAGCCAAATGAAGGTTATGGTTGCATGATCATGTGAAATGGATAGTGTCTGCTAAACTACCTATTTCTTATTCCTGTAGGCTGTGAAGGTCCTATCGAAATTGCCTATTCGGGGAATTGGTAACCTGGGAAAAGTCAAGAATGAGAGTACTCGACAGAATGTTTCCAATGATAGTAAGGTGAGGAAGGACTCATATACTCAAAGAGCTTCCGAGGAAACTTCATGCCACTCTGGTGATTATGGTGGTCATGAGGAAGATAACTCCCAGAAAGAAACTCCCTTTGCTGCAGAAAGCACATATGCACATGTAAATTCAGAAACGATTGCCACGGGTAATGAGGAGAGTTCTTCTGTTGAAGCCTTGGCAAGAGACTCCAATCAGTGCTCTGAGGTGCCTGGACGCAAATATTGGTTGTCAAAGTCAGGTTTCCCATTGGATGCAAAGGAGTTGGTGTCGGATATACAAAGTTCGGAGTTCCTGGAGATAGACAATGCAGTGCAACGGCATCCAGATGCTCAACAGTTCCCAAGTTCAGGGGGTAGCGTTGGCAGCATCCATGAAAGTTCATCAAGCAAAGATGAAAATGAGTCAAACTTGGTAGTGGCTTCTGAAATTCGTTGGGAAGACCTACGTTTGCTAGAGGAGGTTGGACAAGGTAAAGTTGAAGGGACTCAAACTCCCTGGATGATATATTATTCATTTGTATATGTTTTATGTTTTTTGTATATAGTGACATTGGCTAAAGTTTGGTTGGTGAAGTAGATGTCTGAGGGGACAGGCACCCATTATTCTTTCAATATAATCGTATTCAACTTCGATTTCTCTGTTCAGGTTCATTTGCTGTTGTGTATCGTGGAATCTGGAACGGATCGGTACATTTTAAAAATCTCATAATTTCTTAACATTCTCATACCAAAGAGGAAAATTGAGTCAGTATCTCATCTGGGCGTCGTTATTATTGTTTTATTTGGTTTTGGATTTTTTGTTAGGATGTTGCCGTTAAGGTTTATTTTGGGAATCAATACAGTGAGGACACTTTAGTTGACTACAGGAAAGAGGTATAACAACCAGAAAGTATAATAATTGTCAGTGAAGTCTTTATGAAACAATGCCTGAGTTCCTATTTTAATATGCATGTAATTCAGATCAATATAATGAGAAGACTGAGGCATCCGAATGTGTTGCTGTTTATGGGACCAGTATATTCAGAGGAAAAACTGGCCATAGTGACAGAGTTCTTGCCAAGGTATCTGATTTACAGAGTCATTTTTTGCTAGGATGGTGCATCAGCTATATCACTTGCATAAACTTCACTTTACATGATCAGGGGAAGCCTCTTTAAAACACTTCACAAGAACAATCAGTCGTTAGATATCAGACGTCGTCTGAGGATGGCTCTTGATGTGGTATGTTTTCTGCTCAAATCCATAATTTGCTTTTGTTATTTTCTCATTGGATTTAATTTACTACTACTCTCTCTGTCTCTCTCATGCAAATAATTTTCAGTTTTTCTTCTTTGGCCACAGGCAAGAGGTATGAATTATTTGCATCACAGAAACCCACCAATAGTACATAGAGACCTAAAATCTTCGAACCTGCTTGTTGACAAAAACTGGACTGTCAAGGTAGTGTATGATGTCTTCAAATAATTGATGATTCTAGAGATTGAATACCTATCAAGACAAGTCATTCAATTGCTGTGTCAGGTTGGAGACTTTGGCCTATCAAAGTTGAAGAATGCAACCTTCTTAACTGCAAAATCTGGACGAGGAACGGTAAAGATCTTTGTTTTGTTCCTTAGTTCTGATTCGTTATAATGCAGCACATATGGTGCTAAAATGGCTGCTATATTTTTGAGTGCACTTCAATTTGAATTTCTTGTTATCGTTGTAGCCTCAGTGGATGGCACCCGAAGTCCTTCGCAATGAACCATCAAATGAGAAGTACATCCAGAAGCTAATCTTTGAGTTTTATTCTAAAATCACAAGTTCATTGCCATAATCGCCTCTCTCTAGGATTGAGTTTTGTTGAATGGATCAACCCCACACCCCCCCCCCCCAAAAAAAAAAAAAAAACCCAAAAATAATCGACAAGAAGGGACATGTTTATCCATCTTTTTACTCTTGTGTGAGTGTGGTCATGTAGAAGGCTTTGCCAATTATGTATTCTCTATGCTGGGCAGGTCAGATGTCTTCAGTTTTGGGGTCATTGTTTGGGAACTAATGACTGAATCTATACCGTGGAGCAACTTGAATTCCTTGCAGGTGTTTTTTCTCTCTTCTTGGATGTATAACTTGACTCTGTAACCCTCAGAAGACTATTGCTTTAGTTTTTGTCATGGATCTATTCTTTTTTCCACTAAACCCCTTCACTTCCACGATGAAAGGTGGTTGGAGTTGTTGGCTTCATGGATCACAGGTTGGACATACCCGAAGGCCTTGATCCCCGAGTTTCCTCCATTATCCATGACTGTTGCCAAAGGTGCAGCTCTTCCTCTACATGTGTTTATTTCTTACCTTGAACTTTGCAAGTAAAACTCAATATTATAGTTTCATATACTTTATGAGCAGCAACCCGGAACACCGCCCATCATTTGAAGACATTATTCAGAGAATGACAGACTTGATCCAGACAATTTCAGGAGTGTCAGCTAAGAGGAGCTCATAATAGCCTTAATTGCATTATATTTTCCAGACAAGCCTTTTTTTTCTTTTTTCCTTATGTGGGTTCTGTATAAATTTGGCTTTGAATTCATCTCAATGGTACGGTGGGAGAATTGAAACAGATCACTAGAGTTAGGTTGGTAGAATTTACTCTCTTTTTTTTGTGCTAGAGCTGCATGGAGGCATTGTTAGTGTAACTAATATGACATAACTCGTCGTTAGTGATCATGCCATGGACAAATCACTGATCCAATTAGGGAAAGTTTGAAAGAGTTTGGGGTTCTTGACATTTAAGTTTGAGTTGCTTCTGGTACAATGATTCTGATATGCTTTCAAAATACTTATTTTGAATGTTGTTGACTACTGTGAAAGTGAATTGTGTCAATCTCATGCCATTTTGAGCTTATGAATGGATTGGGAAGACTTTTTCCTTTTCATCCAACAATCTTTTAGAGTTTCACAGCTTTGGGGAGTCGAATTTTCACCAGCAAAGGATGGTGACTACCAAATGTGGAAATGGGATGAAAATAAACTGAGCAGATCTGTGTGTAAGCATAAATGTAAGAAACATTTATACTCTGCGGGGTAAGCAGCAATAGGATTTGAGCCCGATCTCGTGATTAGGGCTGACAATTTTTAACACAATTCGAAATCGACACGAAATTAGTGAATTAAGATTAACTATTTTTTGATACGAACACGTATATGACACGACCTATAAACATGAATAATAAGTGGATTGGATTAGTGTCAAACTTAAACAACACAAAATTAACACAATTAATACNGATTCTGATATGCTTTCAAAATACTTATTTTGAATGTTGTTGACTACTGTGAAAGTGAATTGTGTCAATCTCATGCCATTTTGAGCTTATGAATGGATAGGGATGACTTTTTCCTTTTCATCCAACAATCTTTTAGAGTTTCACAGCTTTGGGGAGTCGAATTTTCACCAGCAAAGGATGGTGACTACCAAATGTGGAAATGGGATGAAAATAAACTGAGCAGATCTGTGTGTAAGCATAAATGTAAGAAACATTTATACTCTGCGGGGTAAGCAGCAATAGGATTTGAGCCCGATCTCGTGATTAGGGCTGACAATTTTTAACACAATTCGAAATCGACACGAAATTAGTGAATTAAGATTAACTATTTTTTGATACGAACACGTATATGACACGACCTGTAAACATGAATAATAAGTGGATTGGATTAGTGTCAAACTTAAACAACACGAAATTAACACAATTAATAAGTTTAAAAAGTATTATAAGAATAAATGTTAGTTTTTTATTATATTTTATTAAGTAATGACTTAATTCTTATACACAAAAAAATATTTTAACTCATTTTTATTGTTATATTTATTAAGTTAATTTTTAATTTATAGAAAATTTTGAGCAAGATTTAATTAAGCGATAATAAAATTTTACACATAAAATTGAGCATTAAATTTTTTTATTTATGGATTACATGGGTCAACACAAAAATAAATAAGTCGATACGATACGACACGATACGAACCCAAAATAACAAGACATAAACAAGACTCGACACGATGATATGATTAGTTAAACGGATTGGCTAAGATTAACTAGTGCTCGACGTGAACCCAAAATTATAGGACATGAACAAGACCCTACACAATAGGATTGTCACCTCCACATGTGATGATATCATCGACCATTATACGTATAACGATCCCAAGTAAAATGGTACATGGACAGCACAAACTTTCAATTTCAGAATCTATGAATGTACACAGGAGGAGTATAACAATTATGTGAAAAAATAAGCATTAATTTTCCACAAAAAAAAAAAAAAATTACCGAAAAGGTTCAGAGAGTAAGATGAAACCAAGAACTGTGCAGAACCCTCTGATCAATTGTTACAGTTCCATCTCGAGGTAGGTACACAGCTCAAGTAATGACACCAACTGCAGTGATCGTTCGCATTCTCTCCCCTGAAGAGCATCACGAAGCCCAAAGTAAAACTGCAACGATTGACACGGCTTAGATGGAAATAAGTGTTTGCCATAGCAAAGCAGAAGTCACAACTTCAATAAGATTGAACAAGATACAGCAAACAAACACAAAGATTTACTACTAGTTGTTGATTTCTACAAGACTCACTAATGCATGAAAATTTAACTTTTAACAAAGCTTACCCAGCAATCACTAGAATTAGGGCAACCAGCACGAATACAAGCTGGTAAATCATGTACTTAGACTTCATGCGGGCATCAGCTAGAAGACGCTGGCCCTCCACCCAACCAAACTGGGGACGAAGTAGCAAGACAAAGCCAAGGAGAAAACCTGTCAAGAAACCTCCAATGTGTGCAAAGTTGTCGACATGAGGTAGAATTCCAACAGCCAAGTTAACCACAATGATTACCACGAGCGTAAATAAAGCTGCAGCCTACACAAGCAGACTAGGAGAAATTAATAGTGAATTTGTTTAGCTCACAGCCCAAACAAAATAATTAAATGGTATAACCATTACCCACACCAGAGCCATTTTAAAATGTCAGAATGATAAAACAATAAGCCAACCACCAATTTTGAGTTTCCTCTAAGAAAATATTCTAAATGGATATTGTTCTACCACAAGGTCTCTTGTGACTGCTTTGATCATATGGTACCATCTTAACTATCTCTGAACTCTTATTTGGAATCCATTACAGAGAGACTCAGCATTCAGCGTCAATTTGAGCTTCATGCTCTTTTTTTTACTGGGCATTTGACACAAAGATCAATACCTCCACGATGCCAAAAATCCTATTCTCATCAAAAAGAAAAAGAAAAAGAAAATGCACCTCTTATATGGAAAATTCGAGGGTGGAAATAGTCACCTTATTAGAATAAATTGTCCAGTTAGTGAGAAGCTCCGATAACATTGCTCCAAGAAGTCCGAATAAAGCACCAGAAGCACCAACAGAGATGCTGCGTTGAATGAAGAGAGAAGAGAGTATACTCCCACCAATTCCTGACAGCAGGTAGATCACGCCAACACGCACTGCCATTTCCCATAGGGCAAATAAACATGTAATGATGCATACAAATCTTTGAAAAAATGGCAGATTAACAGAGCAAGGAAAGTTCAGAGTGGGATCAAGTATGGTAACTAGGGTGTCCCAGACATCAACGAGATCAAATCAATCCTATGTCAACAAGAAATGAAGGCACAAATGCATCCACTTGCATAAGTGATTCAAAGGAGTAAGGAGCTTAGTAGTTATCACAGGATATCCAAACCCTAGGAAGACTGGTGACAGCCAAGCCACAAGTTATTGGCATAAAATTACATGCAAATATGTTAAATTCTTTCCTACACAGTAACATTATGCAAAAAAATATTATGCAGAAGTAAAGATTGGTAAAACGAAACATACCAAATCCAAATTGCTGTTCAAGGCGAATCCCAATAAACACCAAACTCAACATGTTAGCAAGCAGATGAATAACACCTGCATGCAACCAGATACAAGTTATAAGCCTCCACCCTTGATGCCCATGCACTACTTTGTTCCAGTCTAGAGCTCCCAATTTTTCCAGTCTGCACAAGTAAACGTAAAATTGAAATAAGGAGCTGATGGAATTAATGCGCTTTTGGTTTTTGTATTGGCTGGAAAAATAGAAGGCAACAATAAGTTGTGGGAAGCCAGGGAGAAAATGAAAACAAATTGTCTGCAGAGTTCAAGCTTTTCTATTTATTTTGTCAGTTATTACTTCTGCTAGCATGATCAGAGCATGAACAGAATATGTGGCTCAGTTCTTCTATTGGAAGCTACTGTACAAGTATAACATAAGTGTTTGCATATACAGTTTGATGTGGAATAAAAGTAACATTATATGCTGGAACTGAAAGGAGCTTATCCAGCATAAACTAAGTACAATGTATCACAGTATTATAAGTTTACTGCTAAAACTAATATTCTACAATTATATCTTTCACAAACATGAATAAACAAAGCTCATCCAAAAACGTTGCCCACAGGAAGTTTGAACTGAAAAAGAAAAAAGAAACCCACATTTTGTTAGTGATNGTACCAAAATTACCAAGAAAGACTCACAATCAAGAAATTAATCTCCATCCAAATCAAACAGCAACAAAAAAAACCCAATTCAAGAGATGGGTATGCAAGAAAAAAGAAAACTGACGCTGAAGAAGAGGGACCGAAGAGAGGATTCTCCTTGAGAGGCTGAAAAGAAAGTCTTCCAAGAAACCTAGCCACACAGCGCCCTTCAGACTCAAAATTGTTCTTGGGGCAATTGTTGACATACATGATCACAACAAACATAGCAACATTGGCCACCACTATCATTGGGACCAACCATGAAGTCCATTGAGTCTCTGTGGACTCTACATAGTATGAAGAAGAGTAATTGGTTGGTGGGTATGTGTTGCCTCTGCCCTTTGTTCCTCCTCTATTCTCCAGATCTCCATTGCCCATCATTTTCTCTCTCTCGGTCTCTATCCTCTAAGCTCACCCTTGAATAATATAGTATCCGTCTCTTTATCTCTCTGTATGTGTGTGTATACACATGGAGAAGCTGAACTGGAGAAGTAATTTTGAAGGGAGTCGGTGAAGCCTTCAACAAAATGCAAGTATTGATTGAGAGAGAGAGAGAGGTTGTATGGATCTCATCCAACTGCCAAAGATCAACAACACGGTACCTCCACGGTGATATTCAGTTGATTGTCTATTTTAGATTAATAAGTTACCTTGTCATTTCAACGTAAATGGTATGATCGAGACACACGTCCAAGGGATTGGATGCCCAACATGAATACTCAAAAAAGATTTTTTTTTTTTTAATAATTTAGAGTGTTTAAATTAATTTATACGTAAAAACAAAGAGTTATACACATAAGAATTAAAAAATTTATGAGAAATAAATTCTTTATAACATAACTTAAAATAATTATTAAAATTTAAAGTTAAGTTATCTGAATTTATAATTTGTTCTTATTATCATTTGAATTATTTTTTAAAATTAAAAGAGTTGTTAAGGTTTCGTAATCACACATCTTTTTTTTTAAAGTAATTCCCAGACTACTGCCCACTTTAAATATGAAAATTGCCACAAAACAACCTTAATAGAAAGGACATATCGCTAGATTAACATAGGTTTTTTTTTTTTTTTTTTATAATTAAAATGGATCGGGCCCACGCGGTTTGGAGTATGAAAGGAAAGTTATCTGTCATTGTGTTTGATTTAAAAGACAAAATGGCTGGCTCTTTCACTAGACAAAAACATAACAACAATGGGATGGTAGGATGCAAAAAGTGGACAGTATTCCCTTTCCTTTTTAACCTTTTAAACACATTCTTCAGGGTTTTGGNGTGGCTCAGTTCTTCTATTGGAAGCTACTGTACAAGTATAACATAAGTGTTTGCATATACAGTTTGATGTGGAATAAAAGTAACATTATATGCTGGAACTGAAAGGAGCTTATCCAGCATAAACTAAGTACAATGTATCACAGTATTATAAGTTTACTGCTAAAACTAATATTCTACAATTATATCTTTCACAAACATGAATAAACAAAGCTCATCCAAAAATGTTGCCCACAGGAATTTTGAACTGAAAAAGAAAAAAGAAACCCACATTTTGTTAGTGATGTACTGTGGTGAATACTTTAACAAGCTGAAGAGATGTAGGATCTAAAACAAGACGTATCCCAAAAATAATGTTGCAAGAAGAATTGTAAGGAAGTTTGGGACCATCTTCTAAAGAAGAAACTTTTCATCGAGCAACAAGAATGGAGTGGCAGATAAAATATATATTCAGAATCACATTATATAGTGGTTCAAACGGGAAGAAATTGATAGAGTTGATCCCTACAAGAACTGTGTTTTATCTTGAATACGTTGGGACTATTCTTTTCTGTTTTTCTTGGGAGGGGAAGAGGGGAGTGGGATAATGAAAGGAAGGACAAATCTATTCAAGGAAGTAATCACACCCTTGAGAACTTCTCTGTGAAGAAAGTGCAGTGCCCGTATAAAGGGTCCCAGGCACTCAAAACTTCATTAATTGCAGAACTGTCACACCTTTTAACCAATTCAATTAGTTACAAAAAAATGCAAGACATTTACCTAATACCACTCCCAAATTACTTTCATACTTACTGAGAGCTCGCAACTTTAAAACCAAAATTGGCATCAAACTTTAATTCAATATTACAAAAAAAAAATTGTGTTTATGACAGCAGCAAACTAGAAGACAGGATGTCCTATGAAGGAGTATTGTCATCGAGTGCTTTGAAGGAGCATTTTACCCATATTTATTGTACAGAAGAACTTAAAATGATGCAGGGATGAAAAAAAAAAAAAGAGTCAATTAACTCAATGCTTCTGGTGGGAAAAATACAATAATCACATTAAAACAGAATTTCTGAAAAGCTTGCCAAAAAGGGCAATTACTAAAACACCATCCGACATATTTCATTGTCCACTTAGAAGAAACAAATAGGGTTAAGAACAAAATGAAGGACAAAAACAACCCAAAACAATCCACTTCTCCAACCCACAGTCCAAACTCAGAGAACATCCTAATGGACACAATTAATCCAACCGAAATCAAAACAACAAGAAACAGCAGCAAATGAGAAACTGTTCCAACCAAATCCTCATTAAATTTAAAGATCTGACTACAGTAACGAAAAGTTGTTTTTCAATATTGTACTTCCTTTTTTGGTCCAACAAAAAAGTGACACTCGTGCAGCTTTTTTATTTTATTATTTACTTCATCTTAATAGGTTTCAGATCAACAATCACACATAAATCAAAAGAAGAGTTAGAAATCATTTTTCAATATGGTACTGAAAATTAATTTTAGAACCCTAGAAGGCTAGAACTATCCTACATTTATACAAAAAGGTCTGGCCAACAATATTAAACGAAATCTACATATATACATATTGCTACCATTAACCCACAAGGGCAATCTCATGAAACATATGGCCGATCAGTAGGATATTGCGCAAAACAAATTGAAAAGAAGAATTCATCAAAATATCAGCTTGAAGTCAACATCAAAACCCATGAAAAGTTCATCAAAGAAACAAACCCCAAACTCATGCTGAAAGACTCCCAATTTATTAATCAAGTGCAAACTAAATCAAATTGACGAAAAAAATAAGACATGGCTACAACAGAAAGATAATTCCCACACAAATATCCTAACATTTGCAACTACAAATTGTGTAAAACACACAAGTAGAACAGTTTCAATCAAGAAATCAAACCCATTCCAACATAAAAACACAATCTAATAGCAAAGAATGGTACCAAAATTACCAAGAAAGACTCACAATCAAGAAATTAATCTCCATCCAAATCAAACAGCAACAAAAAAAACCCAATTCAAGAGATGGGTGTGCAAGAAAAAAGAAAACTGACGCTGAAGAAGAGGGACCGAAGAGAGGATTCTCCTTGAGAGGCTGAAAAGAAAGTCTTCCAAGAAACCTAGCCACACAGCGCCCTTCAGACTCAAAATTGTTCTTGGGGCAATTGTTGACATACATGATCACAACAAACATAGCAACATTGGCCACCACTATCATTGGGACCAACCATGAAGTCCATTGAGTCTCTGTGGACTCTACATAGTATGAAGAAGAGTAATTAGTTGGTGGGTATGTGTTGCCTCTGCCCTTTGTTCCTCCTCTATTCTCCAGATCTCCATTGCCCATCATTTTCTCTCTCTCGGTNCTGAAAATTAATTTTAGAACCCTAGAAGGCTAGAACTATCCTACATTTATACAAAAAGGTCTGGCCAACAATATTAAACGAAATCTACATATATACATATTGCTACCATTAACCCACAAGGGCAATCTCATGAAACATATGGCCGATCAGTAGGATATTGCGCAAAACAAATTGAAAAGAAGAATTCATCAAAATATCAGCTTGAAGTCAACATCAAAACCCATGAAAAGTTCATCAAAGAAACAAACCCCAAACTCATGCTGAAAGACTCCCAATTTATTAATCAAGTGCAAACTAAATCAAATTGACGAAAAAAATAAGACATGGCTACAACAGAAAGATAATTCCCACACAAATATCCTAACATTTGCAACTACAAATTGTGTAAAACACACAAGTAGAACAGTTTCAATCAAGAAATCAAACCCATTCCAACATAAAAACACAATCTAATAGCAAAGAATGGTACCAAAATTACCAAGAAAGACTCACAATCAAGAAATTAATCTCCATCCAAATCAAACAGCAACAAAAAAAACCCAATTCAAGAGATGGGTGTGCAAGAAAAAAGAAAACTGACGCTGAAGAAGAGGGACCGAAGAGAGGATTCTCCTTGAGAGGCTGAAAAGAAAGTCTTCCAAGAAACCTAGCCACACAGCGCCCTTCAGACTCAAAATTGTTCTTGGGGCAATTGTTGACATACATGATCACAACAAACATAGCAACATTGGCCACCACTATCATTGGGACCAACCATGAAGTCCATTGAGTCTCTGTGGACTCTACATAGTATGAAGAAGAGTAATTAGTTGGTGGGTATGTGTTGCCTCTGCCCTTTGTTCCTCCTCTATTCTCCAGATCTCCATTGCCCATCATTTTCTCTCTCTCGGTCTCTATCCTCTAAGCTCACCCTTGAATAATATAGTATCCGTCTCTTTATCTCTCTGTATGTGTGTGTATACACATGGAGAAGCTGAACTGGAGAAGTAATTTTGAAGGGAGTCGGTGAAGCCTTCAACAAAATGCAAGTATTGATTGAGAGAGAGAGAGAGGTTGTATGGATCTCATCCAACTGCCAAAGATCAACAACACGGTACCTCCACGGTGATATTCAGTTGATTGTCTATTTTAGATTAATAAGTTACCTTGTCATTTCAACGTAAATGGTATGATCGAGACACACGTCTAAGGGATTGGATGCCCAACATGAATACTCAAAAAAGATTTTCTTTTTTTTAATAATTTAGAGTGTTTAAATTAATTTATACGTTAAAAAAAAGAGTTATACACATAAAAATTAAAAAATTTATGAGAAATAAATTCTTCATAACATAACTTAAAATAATTATTAAAATTTAAAATTAAGTTATCTGAATTTATAATTTGTTCTTATTATCATTTGAATTATTTTTTAAAATTAAAAGAGTTGTTAATGTTTCGTAATCACACATCTTTTTTTTTAAAGTAATTCCCAGACTTCTGCCCACTTTAAATATGAAAATTGCCACAAAACAACCTTAATAGAAAGGACATATCGATAGATTAACATATGTTTTTTTTTTTTTTTTAATTAAAATGGATCGGGCCCACGCGGTTTGGAGTATGAAAGGAAAGTTATCTGTCATTGTGTTTGATTTAAAAGACAAAATGGCTGGCTCTTTCACTAGACAAAAACATAACAACAATGGGATGGGAGGATGCAAAAAGTGGACAGTATTCCCTTTCCTTTTTAACCTTTTAAACACATTCTTCAGGGTTTTGTTTTTTTTCTGAGTGGTCGGTGAGGGCACACACTGTCAAAAGTACTCTAGTAGTAAGTCCAAGGAATTCAATACACAATTCATGACATTAACATAATTCTAACAATGAATCGGCTGTTTTGAATTTAATTTGAGTTACATAAGACGCGGCCGACCAAACACGACATATGCATAAGATGAATAATGTAGTTA